TTACATATTGCACAAACAGGTGATCTCACAGCACTGACAATCATAATCCAGACTCAAAATTCAATATATTAAACGTCAGTTCTCTCCCTTTCGAAAATATACGAAGTTGATTTTTGTATCAGAAATGTTACTTTTTGTTGATGATAAAATTGACTTAATACTTAACTTGTAAATAGTAAAATAACAAAAAAACGGAAAGTCCTGTATCAAATGGCAACATCAAAATCTTTAACACATCAAACGAATGGAAAACAATTGTCACATTCCTGACTTGGTACAGGCATTTTCTTATGTAAGATACTGTAACATCTTGGTCACTTCTTATATGGAATGCAAACGTTTCTCTGTTGTATGGTTTAACATGCGCGTGTTTGCAGTGACGCCTAAGATAACCGCGAACATTAATTTACATTTTCATATGTAAATTTTTTTACAAGATATTGATATAAACTATAAATAAACGTTACTACTTATAAAGCTAACACGTTTATGTATTGTCCTTTAATTCTTTTTGGTTTAATAGACTTATTGTAAAAGGTTATACTTACAGCATTGTTGTTTCATTATTAGGACTAATATATTCTGGTGTGATCATTAATTTTTCATTTCGCTGATTTATTGATTAAAGCAAGACTAAATTATCTAATTTTTCATTGTAATTCTGAACAAATTCATTCTGAGCATTGCACGATATATCATGTTTTTCCTGTGTAAAAATAAGGAGTTGTGGTATGAGTGCCAATGAGACAGCTATGCACTTATCTTCAAATGAAGTGGATGCAATTAGAGGCAATTTAACCGTATGACCTTCAACAATGAGAAAAACCCATACCGGATAGTCGGCTATAAAAGGCCCCGACATGAAAATGTGACTGTCTTATGACGTAAGAAATCTTCTGTGAAGTACGGCTGTCATAAGTGTGTAACACGGCATAATTCCATGTCATTTGGGCAAGGTATTCTGCGATTGCAGTTTTCATTGTCTGCGAGCTCTTATTGGTGCTGTGGATATAGATAAAATGAGATATGGGTTGTAAGTCAATGAGAAAGTGTGAGTGAAACCCAACAACGAAAATAATAAATTACATCTAGGGGACAAGTAACTTTATGATTGTTTTGCTTGTACTTTCGTGTTGTTGTCTATTGAACTAGGAGTTGGAATCTTTTCTTGTGCCATTATTTTGTTGTGTGTCTTTTATAAACTTGATTTTAGTCCAGTGATCAACGGGTTATGAAACTAGAAATGTGGAGATCTAAAAAGTTTGATATAGGTGCCTGTCTTCAGTCAGAACACTCATCGGTGGCTGTTTTGGCCTAAATCAAGGTGTTATGTTGTTTGTAGCATTTTTTGGTGGTGATATCAGATCTGTGGCAGTTTCTGTTTATTTTTTTCACACCGTTTTTAGACTCGTGGCGATTTAGACCTTGACATACTGTCAAGACACCTGATTCTTTTCATGTGGCATTTTTTGTTGTGTGTTCTTTTATGGACCCGTATGTTTAGCCCAGTGACCAAGGTTATATATGGAGAAAGGCGGAGATATGAAAAGAAAAAAAGTTTGATTCAGGTGACTGTCTCCTGTCAGAAAACTCCTTCGTAATTGTTTTGTCCTATCTTAAGTATTTTTTTTGTTATTTTTGGTGTTAATGTTGGCCGATCTGTGGCAGTTTCTGTTTAAATTATTCACTCCTTTTTAGGCTCATGGCAATTCAGACATTTACATATTGTATAGACACTCGTCAATTGTTTAAGACTGTGTTAACCTCTAGATGTTTTTGTTTAATACTTTTGTTGTTGTTTACTTGTTCATTGTTTTTTATCAAATTGCTCTTTCTTACCAATGTGTGTATCATGTATTATGGTATACTATCCCCTTCTACACATTGAAGTGTTAGATGTACAGAAAGTTCCTTGTAACTTGGACAACTTTAACGCTGATTGTTTACAAGTGTAGATAAAAACCCGGATACTAGATGTCCATTCTTTAATGTCTGTCCCAAGTCAAGAGCCTGTAATTCAATTCGTATTTATAAAAAGGCGAAAAAAGGCAAATCGTCCCGAAAACTGAATACAATTTCGCAGAATTCGTAACAAAACTGTAAATGTAATACGTAATGAGAAGAAAAAATTCTACGACAAATTGATTGAAAAGCTTAGAACGACCATGTCTTCAACCAAGGTTTGGTGGAATTAAGCATACCAAATAACCGACTTAAAATCTCGAGACATGAATATCCCGCCTATCAATTCTAACAACACCGTAATTGATGATGATTCACAAAAGGCCGAAGCATTCAATGACTATTTTGCGTCACAGTCTAATATTGACGATAGCAATAAATGACTGCCTAAGGACGACATCCCTCCAGATAGACGATTAAGTTATATTGTTTTTGAAATGTACGAAGTCAAAGACATTCTTCAAACTCTAAATGTTAACAAGGCCCCGGGGCCTGATGCTATAAGCGGTCGTATTCTCAAGCATGTTGCCGATATTATAGCAAAACCATTACGCGCTATTTTCAACTTAAGTCTTAGAACAAAATTGTTCCCGTCCGCATGGAAGCTAGCGAATGTAATTCCTTGTTTCAAGAATGATGATAAAAGCATACTTAGTAATTATCGTCCAATATCTCTTCTCTCAGTGATGAGCAAAGTTTTCGAGCGTTGTGTATATAAGCACGTATTTAACTTTTTTTGATTACTGAGCACCAGTCTGGTTTCATGCCTAACGATTCGACAAGAAATCAACTTTTATATATTTGTAACGTACTTAGCAAAGCCCTAGACGAAGGCAAAAATATTAGATTCATATTTTTCGATATTAGTAAAGCCTTCGACCGTGTGTGCCATAAGGGATTGCTCTAGAAGTTGCAAAAGATGGGTATTGTTGGCGACCTTCTCCTGTGGCTTAAGGATTATTTGTCGAACAGAAAACAGAGGGTTTTAATAAATGGAGTAGAATCTTCCTGGGCTGATGTAAATGCTGGAGTACCAAAGGGTTCAATTCTTGGGCCCTTGTTGTTCCTCGTTTACCTCAACGACATTATAAACAAAGTAAGCTGTAATATTACACTACATGTATTCGCGGACGATACATGCATTTATGCTGTTGTAGATAATCCACTAGTTTCGTCGATTTCTTTAAACAGCAACTTGCGTAAAATAAAAGGCTGGGCGGATAAATGGTTAGTAAACTTTAATCCGTCTAAGACAGAATCCATTGTATTCTCACGGAAAAGCGAACCAGATTATCATCCACCTTTGAATATGAATGGCGTCATAATAAGAAGAGTTCAGACACATAAGCACTTAGGATTAACTTTCTCGAATGATGGTACATGGAATCATCACATCGAAAAAATTACAGCAAAGACATTACCTCGACTTAATTTACTACGTTGCCTAAAATTTAGGCTTGACAGAAGATCTCTTGAAAATATGTATTTTAGCTGCGTACGCCCATTACTTGAATATGTTGATGTTGTCTGGGATAACTGTCCAGAGGACTTAAAAACCAAGCTTGAACATATAAATTACGATGCCGCACGCATCGTTACTGGTGCAACAAAACTCACCAGTTTACGCTTACTTTTGGCAGATTGTGGGTAGGAGACTCTTCAATAGCGAAGAGATAAGCATAAACTCCTACTTTTTCATAATAGGGTGAATGAAAACCCCATGTTATCTAAATGATATTTTACCAGATCAGTTTAGAAACATACACCAGTATAGAACTCGTCACTCTAATAATTTTCCATCAGTTACCTTGTCGAACTACTTATTATATGAATAGTTTCCTTCCATCAACAGTTCGACTTTGGAATAGCCTTCCCCCAGATATAAAAAATGCTGGTTCTATCGCTACCCTTAAAGCCTTTCTTAAGCCAAATCATTCTATACCAAATTATTATTATTATGCAGGCAGTAGACTAGGTCAGATATATCATGCCCGAATCCGTACCGAGAGTAGTAGTCTTAGAGATCACTTGTATCAGAAAAATTTGGAATCAGACCCATTTTGTGAATGTAAACAGATAGAAACTTCTGAACACTTCCTCCTAAACTGTCCCATTTATCAGCGAACTCGTGAAGCCCTTTTTGTTAATCTAGTTGGTACACTTAACATAGATACGTTACTTTATTGTGATCCGAACATTACAGATATAGACAAGAAAAACAACTTTCTAATTGTACAAGACTATATATTGAAAACTAAGAGATTCACAAAATAGTTCTTGAAGGCTCAACAACATGTCACCCAATGTTAAAAACAGCTATCTTCATTAGATGTTGATTTCCATTACTTTTGTTTTCTTTTTCTTATGTTAATACCTACGAGAAGGTAACACCTCCCGAAACGAAAGCTGATTTTTATCAGCTATAGTTAGAGGAGGGGATAAGGCGTCTGCGCAATGCTAGGCGGTGTTGTCGTAGAAATATGAAGTGAAAAGTACAGGTTCCAGCCCCGGTCGGGGAGGAAGTACAGAATTAGATCTACTCTAACATTGTTAGGTTGATTTTCTAGGCACTTTATATATATATATACATGTATATTATATGATTGTACATTTTTCTGTCCATTGTAATAAATTTTGCCATTCAAAAGGAGAGGAATTTGTATAAGTGACTTGTCACTTGTTTTCCAATCCATGTATTGTATTGATGTACGTATTTATTTATTTGTTTCTAAAATAAAATATTGTTTACACTAATTCAATGGTTGTCGTTTGCTGCTGTATATCATATTTGTTTTTCGTTCATTGTTTTGTACATAAATTAGGCCGTTAGTTTTCTCGTTTGAATTGTTTTACATTTGTCATTTCGGGGCCTTTTATAGCTGACTATGCGGTATGGGTTTTGCTCATTGTTGAATGCTGTACGGTGACCTCTAGTTGTAAACTTCTATGTCGTTTGGTCTCTGGTGGAGAGTTCTCTCATTGGCAATCATACCACATCTTCCTATATTTATATGTTAGGAACAATATTTAACAACATCTATCGTAGAGTCTTTATTGTCTTAGTTCTGAACAATTACATCTTTGACTGCTAAAATAAGTATAAGATACCCTTTCCAGATTGTTTGTAACCTATAAATGGATCTTTTAAAGTCTCTTGAATTATAAAAACTTTTATTTCAACATAAATATATATATATATATAGATCCATTTTAACAATTATAAGATTAATTTGATTCAGTCAACTAGCAATAATTATCCATGTCCTCAGTTTCAATTGTTTAAATTGTAAGACCTGCGTTATACAAAATCAAATGGGAACATCTCAAGTGTGACAGCAGCTATGCTTAGATACCAATGGTATATCTCTAGTTTATGGGGAGTGGAAAATATAAAATAATTTTAAATGGATATGCTCCTTAAATTATTTGCGCTGTGTATTTATGTTTTTCAATCAGCGAGCCTTATTTAGTGGAGGTGAAAAACATATATTACCCGTTTTTTTTTTATACTGATAATCTTTATTCCTAAATTTGAACGTCATTTTTCCGGAAAGTTATACTGAAAACTTTAATAACAGAGGATACCCATTCATAAGTGACGGTGCAAAACTGATGATAATTTCGAAAATAATTTAAAAACGATTTTTTTTTCACCCAAATCTCTCCAAAATTGTTTTAATTTAATTTGATACAATTGAAAACAAGCTAGATTTTCATCCCTCGAATTGAAAATTAAAATTTGTTCCCGAAAAAACCAATTATGCACACTGAAAGTTCGAGAGATGAACAAGCACTATTCGAATTCATTATTAGTTTAGAATGAATTGCACGTGATGTCATAACAGAGGATACCTATTCATAAGTGACAGTGCAAAATTGATGACAAGTTTGACAATGATTTAAAAATGATTTGTTTCACCCATATCTCTAAAATAAATATTTTTTTATTATTTTGATTCAATTGAAAAAAGCTATATTTTCATCCCTCGAATTGAAAATCGAAAAAACTAGTTATGCACACTGAAAGTTCGAGAGATGAACAAGCACTATTCGAATTATTATTATTTACAATAAGTTGGACGTGATGTTATGCAAACTATGTGCCCGCTCGTTCTTATACATTGACGAAAAATTTCCAGTATCGTTTCGTAGGAGGTAACTGTATGGCAGATTTGAAATTTAACACGGTATTATATCTCCGATTATTATAAACTTCCAGACCAAATATCATATTATTTCATCATATTTAAGCTATGTAATGTGTAACGTATTACTAAAATTGGTATAATTCAAAGTATCGTCAAAACATGCAAATAACTTACACGATACAAGTCATCATTAGTAAGTTTCAGACAAAATATCAAATCATTCCATTATATGGAAGCTGATAAATATATAACGAAAATATAACGAAAATCACGGACAGACGAACGGCACGAACAGGTGATAACAGTATACAGCGTACTCCATGCATATGACCGCGGATATACAAAATTAATGCAAAAAACAATACTCTAGGGTCCGCACATTTTGGTGTTTCGTTATTACAATCCATCAGTATAATAATTTAGTATGACCGAGGTAAATATTCCCAAATTACAAGATACACAAGTTCTCCATCCTTACAATAATAGAGCAATTATCACATTTCCCTTAGACCCATCAAAAAGGTCTAAAATCATTTACACATGTTGGTGCACATATAAAAAAGAAGGTATGTCAATACAAGACACAACAACATTACTATCTATTTATCAAATCAACATTCAGGCGTCTCAACACGTTCCTTTGGTCTTTTGGGTGTAAGAAGTCTTGGAGTTGGATAATCGGAATCGGAGTCGTCGCCACTTTCTTCCTGGTTCTGTTGAGATTCGGAACTGGTTTCTTCTTCTACTTGTCTCCTTTGCGGCGGTTGTTTTCTTGTTTGCGGTTTGCTCGGCGGGGCAGCTTGTCTAGGAGTGCGACCAGTAGTCTGTTTTGATCCAACATTTTCTTTCGACTGGGACTTCGACAAACCATTCTGTCTTTGAGTAGGTCTACGAGCGGTTTGTGGCTCTTCAACCTGTTTTGGTGGGGACGGATCGCGGTCATATTCACGATTTCTTTGGTTCCGTCTTTGAGGAGATTGTTCCCGTTCAAAGTCTCGGCTTCTCTGGTGCCGTCTTTGTGGGGACGGTTCCCTGCCGTAATCTTTACTTCTCTGGTAACCTCTTGGATGTTTTTCTGGTTCTGGTGCTCCGTCTTCTACCTGATCGTAACCCGGTTCTTCATCGTCATCATCGTATCTTCCATTTCCATTTTGCATCGGTCCATTATCATTTGGTTTAATCAAACCTTTCTTTTCATATGCTTTCCTCAGTTTCTCAGAAAGTGCGTCCTCGGGATGTTCACCAGATTTACAGACGACAAATTTCGGCGTTTCTTTTCCACTACTGCGAAGTTCTGTTGTGTGCAACTGTGAGTTTAACTTAGTGAAGCTATCTATCTGTTGTAATGGAAAAATAAAAATATTCAGAAAATGCTTTCCTTTACTTTTCTTTTGTGTTTTGTGTTTATATTTTTTTGGGGGCACTCCTAAAAGTTTTGATACGAAATATTAAATTATTACGATTTTCTTACTAGAGCTTGAATTTCAAATAGAATTGTTTTTGTTTTATCCGCATGGTATTTATTTTTTGGAAATCAGAATATTTTTTTAACATATTGCTCGCCACGTCTAACTAGTGCCACTTGTTTAAAATTTCAAGAAGCAAACTGGAGAAAATCAAGCTAAGTGTTAAGCCGTCACCCATCGTCCGATGAGTTCATCATACCAGATAATCACTTAAAATAAATTTGGCATTAAATCGAGTTACAGTAAAAGAAAAGAGACGTGCCAATAATAGTGAGATATGCAGCTATGCGTAGTGCCAACTTTAGAACTTTCCGACTTACTCCTAGTTATAATATATTTGTATAACATTTAAGTAACTATTTTTCTACTATAAAGAAACTTGCATTCATTTTTTTCTGTCAAATAAACACGTATTTGGAAAACTTACTTATTAATAATAAAATGATATCATGAATTTGCTTAATTCAAAGAAATTTTGAGCATATCACAAAGAAGTAAGAGATTGTAAATAGAAGGAAAAGTAATTATTGAAAAAGTTAGAAGGAAAGTCAAACAAGAACGAGCAAAATTTCATAAAAAACTAAATCAAGTACACCGAAAGACTAAGTACTTAGCTAAAGGCCGCAATGATAAATGCGTTTTTACTTAAGTGTGCACGGTAGGTTTGATAAGTATAAGTTCCTGCTCAAAAACTTGCAGTCGTAATGCAATATCTTATTATTCTTTTTAATGGAAAGACAAAAAACTAAATAATAAGCTTAAACATTCTTGAAATTGTTTTAACGTACCTGATTGTAAACCCCTGGTGTAATGGAATGCATACTTAATGGTTTGTATGAACTTAGCTTCAACATATCACCAATATCATCAAGAACTTGCTCAAAAAGTTGTGTCGTGTTTGGGTTGACCTTATAGGTTAACATTCTTTCCTTGTTCATGACTATAATTGTGTCGTTTTTCCTGGATAGACTGCGTCTGAATGGTGCATTAACCTTTGTTGATCTCCGTGGGAGTGGTGACCTTTGTAAACTTTTTGTAGGACTAGGTCCTAGAGGAAAGCCATAGTCAATTGTCTTGTCAATTCTAGCTCTGTCGGATACCACCAAGAGATCACCACTCTGTATCTCGCCCAAATCCTCTATCCTCTTGTATCTGTTATTTTCGTCCTTTCGGAACACATATCGGACACCTCCTTTAGGTTTGATCTTTGGATGCTTATCCAGCTCTGCTAACAGACTTCCGAACGTACGTATCTTGTTGTTGATACATAGATCTACCCCTTTACAATCTTTGTCACCAGACATACAGAAGGTCACTTTCTTTCCTTTCATATCGTCCTGTCTTGCTTTCAATGAAGGAGGGTCAATTTCATACCGTTCATAGCGTGCCATATTAGGCTGAGCCTGGTACTGACGTGACCCTCTCAGACCACTGTCATCTTCCGAAACATATCTCTGGAAAAAAAGAAACTTAATTGAATACAATATCTTGGTTTTGATTGGTTGAATTGAGTCAGTATCGCAAGGTCCTAATATATATACATCGCGTTTAAAAATACATTTGGTAAGTTGATTATCTACATAAATAGCAACAAATGATTTTTTCTAGTATAAAATGTGCATTGTATAAGATAAGATATTTCATTCAGAGTAAAATGCAAACACTAGGATTGTATACGCTATCAGATAATTTTGCAAGTCACTTAAATGTTGGTTAGTTGATTCGTGGGTTAATGAAAACATAGTCATTGAAATGTATTTAAAATATTTTACGTTTACTAGATATACATTTAATGTTTTCTATTTGCGTAATGTTTTCTGTTTCCATAATATAAATAAGAAGATGTGGTATGAGTGCCAATGCGACAACTCCTTATCCAAGTCACAATGTATAAAAAGTTAACAATTATAGGTCAAAGTACGGCCTTCAACACGGAGCCTTGGCTCACACCGAATAGCAAGCTATAACGGGCCACAAATTGACTAGCGTAAAACAATTCAAACAGGAAATAATGTTTTCTATTTGACTAATGTTTTCTATTTGTATAATGTTTTCTATTTGCCTAATGTTTTCTATATGCTTAATGTTTTCTATTTGTATAATGTTTTCTATTTGTATAATGTTTTCTATTTGCCTAATGTTTTCTATTTGTATAATGTTTTCTATTTGCCTAATGTTTTCTATTTGTATAATGTTTTCTATTTGTATAATGTTTTCTATTTGCCTAATGTTTTCTATTTGTATAATGTTTTCTATTTGCCTAATTTTTTCTATTTGTATAATGTTTTCTATTTGACTAATGTTTTCTATTTGTATAATGTTTTCTATTTGCCTAATGTTTTCTATATGCTTAATGTTTTCTATTTGTATAATGTTTTCTATTTGTATAATGTTTTCTATTTGCCTAATGTTTTCTATTTGTATAATGTTTTCTATTTGCCTAATGTTTTCTATTTGTATAATGTTTTCTATTTGTATAATGTTTTCTATTTGACTAATGTTTTCTATTTGCCTAATGTTTTCTATTTGTATAATGTTTTCTATTTGACTAATGTTTTCTATTTGCCTAATGTTTTCTATTTGTATAATGTTTTCTATTTGACTAATGTTTTCTATTTGCCTAATGTTTTCTATTTGTATAATGTTTTCTATTTGTATAATGTTTTCTATTTGACTAATGTTTTCTATTTGCCTAATGTTTTCTATTTGTATAATGTTTTCTATTTGACTAATGTTTTCTATTTGCCTAATGTTTTCTATTTGTATAATGTTTTCTATTTGACTAATGTTTTCTATTTGCCTAATGTTTTCTATTTGTATAATGTTTTCTATTTGACTAATGTTTTCTATTTGCCTAATGTTTTCTATTTGTATAATGTTTTCTATTTGACTAATGTTTTCTATTTGCCTAATGTTTTCTATTTGTATAATGTTTTCTATTTGACTAATGTTTTCTATTTGCCTAATGTTTTCTATTTGTATAATGTTTTCTATTTGACTAATGTTTTCTATTTGCCTAATGTTTTCTATTTGTATAATGTTTTCTATTTGACTAATGTTTTCTATTTGCCTAATGTTTTCTATTTGTATAATGTTTTCTATTTGACTAATGTTTTCTATTTGTATAATGTTTTCTATTTGCCTAATGTTTTCTATTTGTATAATGTTTTCTATTTGACTAATGTTTTCTACTTGACTAATGTTTTCTATTTGCATTCATCCTGATAAAGAATTTATGTCTTTAAAAACATGCTTTATAATACCATAATTCCTATGTTGAATGTTTTAGAGTCTTCGTCAATGCAACCAAAAGGTTTACACATATATTATACCAGTGCATGGTGCCACGAGTATGAATCTTAAACAGGTGATATTGTCCTTTAAGTGTTAACGAAGGACATGGACAATTTCCCCCCGATATTTGAAAGCCACATGCATGTTCATGTGGCTTGCTAACACTTTTTTTTGTAGACCACAAACATTTCCCTTGCCGATACAATCACGATCATCGTTCACTCTATTTGAATAACTAAAGACTAAGTGAACGAACAATACAAATCAGTAAAGAAAAAGAAAGAAATCACTAGTGGTTTTGGTTGTTTGTTGCTTTTTTTTTTTATTAGATATCAATGAGTTTCAGCATGTTTAACCTCTCTCGTGTTCGTAGGAACGCTGATCTAACAGGATGATTATTACATGACAATTATCAGTTTTTCTGTACCATATATACACAAGAACAAGGCGATATCTTTTCAATATATGTGTTAGTGTTTTCAGTATTTGGTCTCTGGTGGAGAGTTGTCTCATTGGCAATCATACCGGACATCTTCCTCTTTTTTATATTGTTCATGTGCCTATACAGTCAACCTGATTATAATCCACGTCTTGTAAGCGAACCGTGGACAAAGGATTTATATTTCAATCAGATTCACACCACCTTCCATTTTATAAGCTTATGGATACACGTTTGTATGCACAAATATAGGTGGGAGTGGAAAATGTGTACATCTGTTATGGAACTGAACAATGGGTTTATACCTATTGTGATAAACGAAGATATTCTGAATCTGGTTACTGGTATATCTATCTGAATGTCACAATCTTATTCATGTCTAATTAGATTACAGATTTCCTTACAATATATATTAAATGTTTGATAAGGCAAGGATTTCCGAGACAGGTGCGTGATAGTTCTAATAAATATTGTTGCGGTAGCCAATCGCAACCGATTTCTGTTCGGTAAATAATTAATCAGATACATTTAATGGCCAGTTATTGATCTCAACGGTTCCATCACTTAGGCCATTAATTCAAGTGTTTTGTAACCTTCATTAAAGCCATCTTAAGACCTGGTGTCTCAATTAAAGCAATAAACCTCCAGTACGGTTATTAACTTTTGAAAACGACAGAGAGAAAACGGAACTGTGTGCTCGTGCTGGCTTTATCGTTTGGTGCTGAATTTCATAATAAGTCTCAGACTTAAAACTGTCACGCTAATAAATACTGTAGTACAAGAAATTGTGAATCAAAGGCATATTGACAATCATACCACTTCTTCTTTTTTATATATAGTTTAGATGCATTACTATATGACAAGTATAGAAACTTAAAGTTATATATATGGATGTTTTACATCCAGCGGCAAATATTACGTGCTTTTTCATGAAGAGAACATTTTTATGTCCTAGGAATGTATTGACACGTTAGTCCAAATTTTCCGAAGGTAACAGTCCACAGGAAAGCATATATCAGATGCACGCTATATGACACATAATTCTAGTTCCCAGTTTGGCAGGTTTTTTTAAAATTAACTTTGCTCCTAAAAGATTCTTGCTGCGCAGAAAGGTAGCAAATACCAATTTCCAAAGTCATCGGTTTGGCCCGGTTTGAGATCGAACCCACAACCTCCCGAAATCGAAGCGAGCGTGACGATATAACAATACCAATGGATCTGACGGATATGTATATAGCGGTGTTGCTATGGTGAATAGTGTGTGTGTGTGTGTGTGTGTGTGTCTGTCTGTCTGATTAACGATTAATGCTATGATAGTTCAGAAATATTTAAAATATTTGCACAGAAAACCGTGTACTTAAAATTATAGCATATACTGTTTTATTATTTTTTTAACTATTTATTTTAAAGTATTAATTAAGGGATTGTATAAAACGATAGTGAGCGTTTTAAACATAATCAAGTATAAAAGTATTGGACTGATTTGAATTTACAATTGACTCTAAACTTAAGAGTGTCCAGCGTTTTCGTTTGTGTCTCAGTCACACCCTCTCCCTTTTGTTGTTGTTGTTGTTGTTCCCAATGCTTTGTAGACAATCGAAAAGTGACAAAGACGTAGATAGTGTTGTTAACTGATATTCTCTCTCGGGACATTTTGTAACATCCACTTGAATTGACAAATTGACAGGAATCTGATGTTCAGTAGTTGTCGTTTGTTGATGTGGTTCATAAGTGTTTCTAGTTTCTCGTTTTTTATATAGATTAGACCGTTGGTTTTCCCATTTGAATGGTTTTACACTAGTAATTTTTTGGGGCCCTTTATAGCTTACTGTTCGGTGTGAGCCAAGGCTCCGTGTTGAAGACCGTACTGTGACCTATAATGGTTTACTTTTATAAATTTTGACTTGGATGGAGAGTTGTCTCATTGGCACTCATACCACATCTTCTTATATCTAAATAGCTGTAAAACAGATTTGGTGCTGTAAAAACGTGTTAAAACAAAACAAAGAACTTTCTTTTCAATAAAAGACATATACGTGGCATCTCTATACTTTTTCTTTAGTTATCGTGTTATCAAACTCCCTCGGGTAAAGTTTGCCTTATATGAATTTGGTTATTCTTTTTTCGATCCCTTTTTATCATATATAGCTCTTCACGATTCTTGTTTTCCATTCGTTTGATGTGTTTGAGCTTTTGATTTTGCCATTTGATAAGGGACTTTCCGATTTGAATTTTCCTTTGAGTTCGGTATTTTTGTAATTTTACTTTTTGCGTATTTATACATCCATGGCTTTCAAATGGTTGGGTTTGAGCGTTTCTGATGAAGCCATAAAAGCGCTTCGTATGCACGAAATGTAAAGTCCTTTTTATTTATCTTATTTTACAGTGAAGATTACACCAATTGCACCTTTGTCAAGTATTTATTTCACTCGCACTGTGTATGAAAACTTGTTGATAGTAAAGAGTCTAAATAAAACATAAAAATAATTTTTAACAAAATGTTTACAAGTAAACATATATGAAACGAATGAGTTAATAGCCCTATGCTTTTCTCATGAGGTCAAATTTGCTAAAAAGTGCTAACCCTAAAGGCTTGTCAAATATTGCAATGCAGACCTTCCAGAACAGAGCCGAATTTTTTATTTCTGTCTGAAAAAAAAATTGTTATTTGATAATTTTATTTAGCTTTTTAACTGGGCGAAAATTCAATTGTTTATGGTTTCATCAAGTGTTCAGATATGTATGACAAAATAAAACCAGAACCTCAAACATATTATTGTTCTGATATATGACAAAATAAAGCCAGAACCTCAAAATACACCTATGAAGTTGAAATACAGTAATTTGAGTTACTTAGTACGATTTAAGGATGACCTGAAAATGACTTTGCTGATGAAATAACAATGCAGAGGAGAGAAAGTGACATTTCTGGTGAAATAACAGTGCCGAGAAAAGAAAATAACTTTGTTAAGGAAATAACAATGAAGAGGAGGTGACATTGCTAGTGAAATAACAGTGCAAAGAAAAGAGAACGATATTACTAGTGAAATAACAGTGCGGAGAAAAGAAAACGATCTTACTAGTGAAATAACAGTGAGGAGAAAAGAAAACGATCTTGCTAGTGGAATAACAGTGCAGAGGAGAAAAATTACATTGCTAGAGAAATAACAATGAAGAGGAGAGAGAGAAAATTATATTGCTAGAGAAATAATAATGCAGAGGAGAGAAATTGATATTGCTAGGGAAATAACAATGCAAAGGAGAAAAAATGATATTGCTAGGGGAATAATAATGCAGTGGATAGAAAATGATATTGCTAGGGGAATAATGATGCAGTGGATAGAAAATGATATTGCTAGGGAAATAACAATACAGAGGAGAGCAAATTATATTGCTAGGAAAATAACAATGCAGAGGAGAGAAAATGATAATGCTAGGGGAATAATAATGCAGAGGAAGGGATATGAAATTGCTATATAGGGAAATAACAAAACAGAGGAAATTTACTAGCCGTAACTCTTTTTTCCCCAAATATTAAATACGAACATAATTATATTATAAATATAGTGGTAGTGTTTTCTTTTCAAAAAAATTCAACATTATATGAATTAATGGCATAAAGCTGAATATTACACAATTGGAAAAAAAATGATTGCAAGCAAATATTATATTGTCATACTTCAAACAAAGTTAGTCTCCTCTAGATAACTTAAAAGTATTTTACATATAATATCAGACCCGGAAGAACCTATCTCTTACATCAAACCCTCTTCCCTAACCCCATTAATTACAAATTGTACTCCCACCTAATATTGATAAGTTCTGTCTAAAAAATATCGTGGAGCCAAGTTAATCCCCATCACATCTTTCAGTCTTCTGCCAGAATGAGTATAAAATACATATTTTCTTATAATTCCAAACAGAAGAGGATTAGAAAAAAAAAATAAACAGTAAATAAAATATATAAATGTTTTCTAACCTGTTCATCATATGGATACGGTGCTGGCATCTTGTCTCCTCGTCTTCTGTGTGATTAAATGTTTCCAACTAAATCTACCTGATAAATTATTAATACCTCCATCTCAGGTAAGAATTAATTATAAATGGAATGCCTGAATACTTGGCTGATTTGATAGCAAGAAATTCCACTGGGGTCTTTTATTTTCCAAAACAAAACGAGTAACTACTATGTACGGTCAAGAGTATTGATATACGTTATATAATAAAGAGGACGGTATCTGAAGGTGTAATCAACTTAATTGGATAACAAAATGCTTATCTAACATGTTACAGCATAATTATATATCACGGAACAAAGAAAACCAACCAAAATATAACAATTGATTTTAACAATTGCACTTGGTCTCACTACATTTAAGGAAAAACAACTTGCAAACTGTCAATGACCTTAACTTTTGAAGGTCGCCACAAAGAGTTCAATATTAGTCAAATTTAAAAAAAAATAGAAAGATTTGGTTGTCAGGGCTTTAAGCAAGCAACACTCAATCAAAGAGTGATGTTATAATACCTGCAAAAGAAAACGAATTCTTGTTGCATATTTTCACTCAAATTATGTATTTGTTTCTGTCAACATGACGACCTCACTGTGCTTTGATGAAGAACAGCAATAAAAGCCCTTTTTAGTTTTGATGTCCCTTCTTATTTTACAGTTGGTGTTCTATTCAAACAATTACTGATCTTATATTGGCTGAACAGCGAATCATTTGATTCCGTCATATATGCTTTCATTTTATATGAAAGCAACCCATGCCGTATGAATTCAACAAATGCCGTATGAAAGCAATCCTGTTGATTGTAGAATTACTAGCATAGACAACTTGTTAAATCAACACTACGTTTCGAATTTATTCGTGTACTTTGTGCAAACGATTATGCTTTTGTTTTTCAAAATAGAAAAGGGGCCTCGGTGGCTAAGTGGTCTAAGTAGTTCTACTATTGTAATCACTATCCAGTCAACACTGAGGTTGTGAGTTCGAACCCCGCTCGTGCGGGTACACTCGACTCCAATCTTAATTGACTAGGATTGTCAGTTTTCCTATTGAAGGTCGGTGGTTTTCTCCGGGCACTCCGGCTTCCTCCACCTATAAAAACTGACCGCCACGAACTAGCCCAAATGTGGCGCTTAAAAGTGGCGTGAAAACACCAACAATCAATCAATCAAAATAGAAAATTTTGTTAATTGAAAAACAAGTATTGAATGTAGATGATTGATAAAAACATTTAACAATAATTAATATCCAATATGATAAATAAAAAAAATCAAGAAGATGTGGTATGATTGCCAATTAGAAAACTCTTAACAAGAGACCAAATGACGTAAAAGGTTAGCAACTATAGGTCATCGTACGGCCTTCAACAATGAACAACACCCATATCGCATAACAATATTATGAATAACAATGATTGAAATTTATAATAAATGCTTTACAAGCTATCTACTTTTAAAGCGACATCTGCATATGCAAATTATAGCGATATTTCGAATTAAAATTGATTTCGCGTGGAATGATACAGCTTTCATCTCACAAAACAATTTCTGACGAAGTTTTAATTGGAAGTTTTACTTTCAGATTCAAACTAAGAAAATATATATTTAATTTTATTTCGAAAATCTGTAAATATATAAGAATTGAATGCTGTGTATTTGAACATTTAAAAACGACTTGAAAGCACGTGACCATCACATTTTAAACAAGAGGCTCTCGCGCGCTTCAGGCAAAATGTGATGGTCATTTCCTTTCATTTCGTATAAATAAAAAAAATATCAGTTTTCAAATGATTAATCGCCAATATCGAGTCATATTTATGATTATTTAATCAAAACATGTATGGATGGATGTGTGTCCAGTGGCAAATATTACATGCAGATCAGAACGAGAACATGTTTCTGTGATGTGATTTGAATATGAACCTGCGTTGTATTTGACCAACTCGCTAAATCAATTTTTAACTGCGACGTGCTATTCACAATGTATCAGTCCAGTAATTTTCTGACTCCCACTGACCAGTCGTTGCAACGACATGCTTAGCGGAGAAACAGCTATCAACAATTTTTCAGTCTTTGGTTTGACACGGCCGGGAATCGAACACACGACTTCCCGCACTCGAGGAAGGCACGCTACCACGAAACCACTATACTGTTTACATTATAAACTGTTGACATAGATATATGTCTCGCCTTTCTGTAATTTTGATAGTATAGTGTAAATGTTAAAATTAAAATGGCAACACTTCAACATGTAAACTATGCAAATAGTTCAAAGTCAATAGACCATGACTGAGAGGTCGGGGTCAAATTATCTCCATGGATCGAAATGAAATGTACCAATGACAATACAATTGCACACTAAATATCATTAACCTTCCACTAGAGATACCCAATAAACTTACCTAATAAAAATACATGTAAACATTGCAAACGTTTCAAAGGCAATAGACCATGACTGATCATGAGGGGCCGTGGCCAAATAATCATCATGGAAATGAAATATGCCAATACTAATACAACTGCATACCAAATATCATTAACTTTCAACAAGTGGTTTCTCATAGATTGACCTTATCAAAAAGTAATACATGTTGTCTATGCAAAAGTTTCAAAGTCAATAGACCATGACTGAGGGGACAGGGCCAAATACGGCAATCGCCTTGGAAGTCAGATGCTCCAATACTATACAACTGTATAGCAAATGTCATTGGCCTACAAATAGTGATCCCCGATAAACTGACCTAATCATAAACTAAGTTATAGATATTTCATATCTTGCATGGTTGGCGCCGCCGGAAACAGCACGCCTAAGTCTCGCTTTTTCGACTTCGTCGAGGCAACAGAAACCAAAGCCAAAAAAATATTAATAAAAGTCCAATGAGTGATCCAGAAGAGTAAGCAGTGAATGTCTCTAATTAGATACCTTATCCAGATTTTACTCATGTCAAGTCACAGAAAAGTCATTTAAAAAAGAGGTTATTGTGTAGGCGAATTTCCAGTAATAATCGACGAAGTCACGACGAAAACCATAGAACTTGTGAAAAAAGGAGAAGAAACAAGTGGTAATACAATACCAGTCCACAAGACAAATAAAAACAGACATCACCATGGCCAAAGAGATAAACGACAATAGTCCGTAAAACATGTCACAGAAAACTAAAGACAGATGCTCTGGAAAGGTAGGCATTTCCTCCTCTACTATAGTGACATGCTCTGGAATGCGAAGTAGTCCCTCCTTCTCTGGAGTGACACCCGTCGTGATATTCATTGCCAGTACAAATTGTGCGAGAAGTTGCATCCAGTGTTCGAAGCAATCGAGGGGTTATGGCTTCAACAAAAAGAAACAAGATATACTGAAATACAGATTTCAAAAATGGTCAACCAAATCATGATCAAAGCAATCATGATATGAAACAATATTAAGCGCTGGAATATCATTTCAAATAGGAGATATATACTCCATATGCACGTGGGTACTGGTGGAATGTTGCTACACAGAAAAAGAAAAACTGAAATAATATCTTTTGCTGAAAAGTGGTCCAATAGTTGTCAACAGATTATAATTCGATACCTATATTTTGGCATTGCACAATGACAAGTATTTCTTGGACTGTTAATGACGTCTTTACATTAAATCCATTGTATGTTGGGTATGTACTGATTGATATTTAAGACTTAGATACATGATTTTTTTATTGGTTGTTATTCGCTTTGAAATTGCTTTTAGGAACTACGAGTACTCTCAGATCTCTTTTGTGTTTTTGGTGCATTGTATCAATCTGATGAGTCAAGCCCTATTCAACTGATTTTTAAAGTGTGTTCTCAAGTGTTTGTACTGTAACAACACTGTCCTAAGATTAGGGGCGAGTTTGGCACCAGTAAACATGTTTAACCCGCCACATTCGGTATGTGCCTGTAATTCAATTGTTGTCGTTTATTGCTGTATATCATATTTGGTTTTTTTTCGTTTATTGTTTTGTACATAAATCAGGCCGTTAGTTTTCTTGTTTGAATTGTTTTACATTTGTCATCTCGAGGCCTTTTATAGCTTACTATGCGGTATAGGTTTTGCTCATTGTTGAAGTCCGTACGGTGACTTTAGTTGTTAACTTCTACGTTATTTGGTCACTGATGGAGAGTTGTCTCATTGGCAATTATACCAAATATACTTAGTTTTACAATTCTCAATTTGTATACATATAAGTCAAGATATGGAGCAGACTAGACGGTCTCTATGGTATCCCATATTTCAAGTCCAAAGAGAAAGGTGCGATAAACAATCCAACGTTTGAATTACTAGTGAAAAGTAATCGTTTTAAGGTTCCTCCTTAAAAAGTAATTAAGGATGCACTTAGGTCGGGTATAGGAATTTTTGTCAGATGTTTGGACTCCTTGGTTTTTTTCCTACGATACATGGTAAAATATTTTGCCCCATAACACCCATTTTTCTTTTCATATAGGCCTTCAATAGCTCATAAAAGGTCATTTACCAAAATTTAGGCAGATTCTAGATTTCTTTTCTTTCGATTTGAGACCCAAATAATACCAATGCAAATATAAGGTAAAGGCTTATCCCGCCATTTAAAAAAATGAAAAATCTCGAAAAAGAGCTCCATAACCTATCAATATTTTTAGCTTATTTTGTTCCTGAACTAATGCTCTTCTGACTTAAAGTATCAGTTTTAAATTCTAGATATTTTTAATTTCACCTAAGTACATCCTTAATTTCATTAAATTTTATATGTGTGTTATGTATGGAACGCCACAGCTGTCTTATGTGGAACTCTGATATTACGTTATGTTGTTTTATTATTACTTGATGATATTTTGTCTTTACATAATATGGTTTTGGCATTACGTAATGATGTTTTGATATAACTCAATATGGAATAGTCATTACTTAATGATATTTCGATATTACACGATATGGTTTCGTATTGACTTGATATAGTTTTGTCATTACTTAATATGGTTTTATCATTACTCGATGTGGTTTCACCATTATTTAATGTGGTTGTGTCACCAGTGGCGGATTCAGAACTTTTCATAAGGGGGGGCCCGCTGA